TACAGACGTCCCATACGTCACTGCACAGACTTCCACCTCTTGCAAAGCGCCTGTTACTGGAGCACTTGCTGCTCAATTCTCGCCGATTCCTTCTTCGGTCCAACACATGGAATAAAGGAAGACCCCACAGGATGCTTGCAGACTACTGGGTGACGCGTAAAATCCACCGGAATGGGGTAAACTGTCAAACTGACAGGACTTCCTCTCACACGTCCGACCACCTCGACGTGTCGTGTCAAACTGATCCCTCACGGAGGATTGGCCCAGCCGCTACGTCATCACTGGTGAAGCTATCAGACGTCCCAGACACTGTCTAGACTTCGCTCTTGCACAGCACCTGTCCCTGGAGCACTTGCTGCTCATTTCTCGTCAATTCCTACGTCGGTCCAACACATGGAATATAGGAAGACCTCACCAGGTGCTGGCAGACCGCTGGTGATGCGCAAATCCTCCGGAGATGGGGGATCCTGTCCAACTGACAGGATCCCCTGTCGCACGTCCGACCACCTTGACGTGCCGTCTCAAACTGATGGCGTCACCGCGGCGCGATGACCGGACCCCCCCTGCCTTCGTGACGTCATACTTGCCAGGGGCGTTTCTCATTGGCTTCCTGTGCCACGTCACTGTTCCTGACCAATCTGGTGCCACTGACGTCATACCGTTTTGGCAGCAAAACGGAGGGGCCGTCGCCATATTGGCATCCTAAAGGGCCTAAAAGACAAGCCAAAAAACTCTTCTTTGGCGAATTTCTCGCCAACGCGAGAACACTACACACTCCCACATATGTCGAATTGTTTCCCAGAACGTAGAGAACGCTCGGGAAAAGTGGATGTGACTCTTACTCTTGAGAGCATATGGGAGAAATATAAGGGGGGGGGACACCGTCACAATATATATATATATATATATATATATATATATATATATATATATATATATATATATATATATATATATATATATATATATATATATATATATATATATATATATATATATATATATATATATATACATATATATATATATTAGTATATTTTGGTAGCAGTCTTTCCTGTAGACATATATTATTAAATATGACCGAAAAAGTAAGATTGATAATTCTAACACGAATTTTCTCAATCTTTCGTACATTTCGCTTCACTGTTGGAGGTAAATAAAAAATCAATTCTCCAAAATTCATTTTTATTTCTAGTCTGACGCGACACGAGCGCGTTTCGTAAAACTTATTACATTTTCAAAGACTTTAGTTCACAAATACACAACTGAATAGAACTTACGCATCGATTACGATTTTATATCTACATTTGAGTGAGGTGGATGGGGTGATGTGGCATTAACACAAGACAGAACAAAATGTGGTATTAATAGGGTATTAATTTCATCAACACAAGACAGAACAAGAGTATTAATAGGGTATTAATTTCATCAACACAAGACAGAACACGAAACAATGGATATTGAATAGAAGTGTTTGTAGAAAGCCTATTGGTCCATATTTCTTGATGCTTCTATATTGGAGCGGAGTCTTGAGGTGGGTAGAATATAGTTGTGCAATAATTGGCTGTTGATTGCTGGTGTTGACTTCTTGATGTGTAGTGCCTCGCAAACGTCAAGCCGCCTGCTATCGCTGTATCTATCGATGATTTCTGTGTTGTTTACTAGGATTTCTCTGGCGATGGTTTGGTTGTGGGAAGAGATTATATGTTCCTTAATGGAGCCCTGTTGCTTATGCATCGTTAAACGCCTAGAAAGAGATATTGTTGTCTTGCCTATATACTGGTTTTTTTGGAGCTTACAGTCCCCAAGTGGGCATTTGAAGGCATAGACGACGTTAGTCTCTTTTAAAGCGTTCTGTTTTGTGTCTGGAGAGTTTCTCATGAGTAGGCTGGCCGTTTTTCTGGTTTTATAGTAAATCGTCAGTTGTATCCTCTGATTTTTGTCTGTAGGGATAACGTTTCTATTAACAATATCTTTCAGGACCCTTTCCTCCGTTTTATGAGCTGTGGAAAAGAAGTTCCTGTAAAATAGTCTAATAGGGGGTATAGGTGTTGTGTTAGTTGTCTCTTCAGAGGTTGCATGGCTTTTCACTTTCCTTCTTATAAGAAGGAAAGGGGAACATCACCCCTTCCACCTCACTCAAATGTAGATATAAAATCGTAATCGATGCGTAAGTTCTATTCAGTTGTGTATTTGTGAACTAAAGTCTTTGAAAATGTAATAAGTTTTAACGAAACGCGCTCGTGTCGCGTCAGACTAGAAATAAAAATGAATTTTGGAGAATTGATTTTTGATTTACCTCCAACAGTGAAGCGAAATGTACGAAAGATTGAGAAAATTCGTGTTAGAATTATTAATCTTACTTTTTCGGTCATATTTAATAATATATATATATATATATATATATATATATATATATATATATATATATATATATATATATATATATATATATATATATATATATGAGGTTTCGAAGATTTGTCTCACATGAAAAACACATTAAAAACACAGTTTTTTAAAAAAGCATGTTTTATTCTGTCACAGACGTGACATCAGTATAGTATGTATATAAAAACCTGCTCTGATGCGAATGGAACATTGTGTGAAAATTTCAAAGCAATCGGTGAAGAACTTTCGGAGATTAGCGATTTTAAACAAACGAACATTTACATTTTTATTTATATAGATATATCATATAAGTCACATATCCCAACATATAAAACGGTAAATGCCTAATGATAACATATACAAGCACAAGTAATAATAACTTTGTGCACACACACACAGACGTACAACCTGGACAAGCAGGTCCCGGACAGCGCCGCCACCGCCACCGCCTACCTTGCGGGAGTCAAGGCCAACTATGAGACTCTTGGAGTCTCAGGGAAGGTCAAGATGAAAGACTGTGACGCCTCCCTCCTTCAGGAGAACAGACTGGATTCCATTTTACAGTGGGCGCAGGATGCTGGCAAGGATACAGGTAACTGGCTGGGGTACAGGCAACTGGCAAGGGTACAGGTAACTGATAATTGGCAAGGGTACAGATAATTGACAAGTATTTGCATTAATAGTAGACAGGTAAGTGCTAAGTATATAGCAAGTGGCAGACAAGTGTAACACAGCCCAACCTAATTATTGAAGTGATTTTTTTATAATAAACAATTTCTTGAACAATTCTTGAAAACGAGAAAATGGCTTGTTTAACAAGGCTTAAGGAGTACCAAACGAGAAGAAGCCTGTAAGCTGTGTGGGAAAATTGTCGAAATTGATATAAGAGAACTACTTGGGACTTGTACTGTACTAAATTAAAAAATTACTGTATGCAAATTTAATTCAATTAAAGTCCCTAGCTATGGTCGTGAATCCTAGCTCCTCATGTCCTAATGACAGATTGTGGGCTGTAAGGGGCAGGTGGGGTCCCTAAGGGTGAATGGAGAAGTTGATTGAAGATCTACAATCCACCTCCAGACAATTCAACACATCAGCTTGCATTGTTAATACAAGGATAAGATTAAATAACTCATTTCTATAACTGAACACTGGTTCTGTTTAAATCAAGGATCTAAACATGTACATAGTCCAGTTTAGCACCATAACTACAACAGCCAATATTCACATACTAATAAATACAACAATTTGTATTATATAGGTATGATATATATAAATATGCAATCAAGGGACCTTAAATTGAGTCCAAGTTCTGGTATCTAGGCACAAGAGACTGTATTCAAAATGATAAACTTATGTGATAAATTAAAGATAACTAAGCAATTATTAACCTAATGTATGTTATCAATTATATATACAGATATATTCAATTTATATGAAAAGATTCAGTCGAACTTGTCTTTCAGTGACTGAGGTTGAATAATCAATGAGTGTCAAGATAATTTGAAAAGATTCAATGTCTGAAAGATTAATCAAAACTTACTGAAATCTGAGGCATCACACCGCGCTGTAACGACAGATTTATTGGATAGATTAAGGTTATACAAGCATGCAATTGGCCAATCAACTCACTACAATAGCACTCGATATACTTATGTTTATACAGTCTGAGTGCCGGTGCCTTCTGACAAGTTGCCAGATTTGATAACCTCTCTTGTAGAGCTCAGGCACTATATTTTATGTCACAGCTTTGCTGTTTAATATTCTGGTAGCTTTGCTAGTTGATTATGTCTTTAGTTGCGTTTGCAGTAGGATAAGATAAAGTTGATTGTGGAGGTGGAGGCGGTGTCACTTGGTGTGCTCCACTCTTACTTCGATAAAGTACTGGGAATTTTTCCTTATAGATATAGTCCAGGTACTCCCCCAGTTCTAGAGAGTAATCACTGATGATAATGATGAGTTAGTGTATGGTGTCCTTTACTGAAAATGTTCGCAAGGCACCGCATCACATCACGCGTTCACTTTATTTTGTAAACAAAACGTTCTCTCCCCCGGGTGCTGGTGGGCACTTCTCTCCCGAGCTGGCTCCTCCCTTCTTTTTGGGCAGGGTAGCCTCCAATGAATATTTATTTATTGTTTTTACTGTCTAAACATATGATTGAGATAAGATGTGATTATAATATAATTAGATATAAGATTTATAGATTATATGTGGTACTTAATAGTACTATTGATTCTTATTAGGGATTTAATTTAATCCTCACTGGAAATTGTTTAATTGTTCCAATAATTTTTTAATTAAGATATTGTTCTTGAAGCTTCTAGATCCTTAAGAAATCATGCACAAAGTCACGTAGGCACCATGGGCCCTATAGTGTGCATGATCATAATGGCATTGCCATATAGGATCCAGATGTAGGATGTAATGATTCTGATATGATTTTTGATATGATATAGAAATAATACATTTCTTAGATAATAATGTTGATATAGTGAGGTAAAATTTCCCACATCTTCCAGAGGGAGAGAACTGGCAAAGAGTCCAGTATTAAGAACAATAGTAACCATATGTGTTCATTTACTCAGCATCGGACTGAAATACACGTGCACATTTTGCTTACACTTTTGTGGGCTGTCCATTGTAGACAAGTGTACCTGTTAGGAGTCTGTGGGTCATGTGGTGTTAGAGTTTCTGGCGGTCTCCCCAGGATCTAACAGTAGCTGACTCACTGATTCCATGTGAATGAGTTTGTCCAATGTCTTTAGGGAAGTAGTTCCTTTAAACAGGATTTTGACTATTCTCAAAATACTCTGGCTATCTGGATGGACAGAGACGATTTTACCCAATGGCCAGTCAGCCCTAGAGCCATCACTGTCTACCAAGACAATATTGCCAGGTTGGAGATTAAATTTATTATGAGGGACATTGGCCCCTTAGCGATGTTCTCGTAGAGATGTAAGATATTCTTTTGTCCATACATCATTCCATTTTTGGATTATGCTGGACAGATACTTATACCCCTGAACCAACTCACTCTGATCCACATATGAGTGATCTCTGATCTCATCATCCACTAGAGATTGTACTGAAGTCAGAAGTCTTCCATACATTAGTTGGGCAGGAATTAATGGCTCATGTTGAGTAGGATCATCAAACAAGTATGTCAACGGACGGTTATTCACCCTGGATTTTATTTCTGTGATTACTGTTTGGAGTTCATGAAGATTGATTTTTTGACGGTGTAGAGATTCTGACAAATCTGCAAATACATGTAGTGTTACTTTTTCCTCGACTATGTGTCTCGGAAAGATTATCTGTTCATCTAAAGTTTGTTCTTGAGCCATCTGCATCCAAGCTTTTTGTAACTGGGGTGGTAGTGGATTATCCCAACAAATTTTTGTCTTCCAAGCATCTTGCATCAATAAAATCCATTTAATTGTTAAAGGGTTTAATAGACCAAGTGGGTCGAATACTTTGCTAACCTGTGAAAGAAAATCCCTTTGTGTAGCAATGCAATAGTTTACGGGTACTGATTTGATTGATATGGTCTAAGATTAGGTCCCATCCCATACCTAATCCCTTTTGTGATTCTGGTATGAGATATTCAGGGTAATCCCTCTCGATTTGATTATTCAATGTTGCACTATTAGAGGCCCATGATTGTAGGGGCATGTTAGCACTTTGCAATTCCTTGTTGGCCTCTTGATATATCTGTAACAGATCAGTTGTACTGTTAACTGTCCCTTGTAAATTATCTACATATAGATTTTGACTGAATTCAGCCTTATTCAGACTTGAGGATTTTTACAGGTGAGTGTCTAAAGTTGCTTGCAGCAGAAATGGGCTAGACTTGGCTACGAAGAGTACAGACGAGAATCTATAAGTCTCAATAGGGCTATTTAGATCTTCTGGGTTCTATACCCATAGAAACTTAGTGAAGTCTCTAACTTCTTCCTGTACGCCAACTTTTAGGAAAGATTTGCTAATGCTGGCGATGAGTCACAATAACGTGGCTAAAGTGTGTTGACCAGACCACACACTAGAAGGTGAAGGGACGACGACGTTTCGGTCCGTCCTGGACCATTCTCAAGTCGATCCTAATGTCTACTGTATATGCATATTTGTTAAGTCTAAACTTCAGTAGTATGTCATACAATTTCTGAGTCAGACTTGGACCTGTTTACAAGCAATCACTTAGACTGATTGCTTGGGGTCCAGATTTAGAGCTACCATTAAAGATTATCTGTGAAGGAGTTGTTTTTGATTCTCTCATTACAGCCATGTGAGATAAAAAATGGCCTGTTTGCTTATTGTCGTGTTTCATGACTTCAATGAATTTATTTTGTAGCTGTTGAGCAGTAATCTCATAGTAGAGTTGTAAATGATCAGGCCTTTTTCTTAGCTTTGCTAATAGTAATTTAAATTGACTATAAGCCATATGATAGTTGGTAGGTAAGGTTTTATGGTTAAGTTTCCAAGGTAACCTTACCCAATGTTGTACGTTATGGTACTGTACTGTTTCTAAGTACTGGTTGTGTGTACAGACATCATCATGACTTGGTTGTTCAGGAATTATTCCTATTGTATCAAGTTCCCACAATTTATGCACAGATTTTAGTCTGTCATCAATTATGTCGGGGATTATAAGTGGGAACTGTCCTTTGCACAGTCAAGCCACCATTACAGTTTCTGTATGGTGTGATTTTTCAGAAGTTGAAGCTTCAAGATCTAGTACTCTTGTTTGATTGCAAGCTCCTTGATTGATTAGTTTCAGCTGTGCAGTAGGTAATGTATCTGTAGTAATTGTTTTTGCTACTAAGGCATTAGCATTACTCTGTACCTTACAAAATTGTAAAGCTGGTGAAGAATTATCTTCCTTTGACTTTGCCTGTGATGCAGTTTGATTATTAATTCTGTTGGCACGGTCTCTATAAACTGTGTACTGAAATATTTTATGCTTCCTGACAGAATAGACTTCTAGGCGCAATTGTAGCTCCTTTTGTTTCAGGCATTCTAAATGCCTTTAATTTATACATTCAATTTCATTATATAAATGAAAATGAGAGAGAGAGAGAGAGAGAGAGAGAGAGAGAGAGAGAGAGAGAGAG